CATTCGCTTTGCACTCTGCCCCTTGTGGCATGCGTCGTGTGTCTGGCATGCGCTGCAGCTGCACCCAAGACTAGCTGTCTTCGTCGCCTTCTTTTTCCGTCTCTTGCTTGCCCTCAATCAATTTTATATCAAAGCGACTCAAGACCCTTAGCCTGTTGAGATGTTTGCGCCCTAAAAAAAAAAAAAAATAGAAAAAATTCAAAAAGAGGATCGTTTTTTAGTTTTTAGTCCTTGAGGGATGCTGCGGCTGTCAGCACAAACGGCGCCGAGCTTGTTTACACATATGCAAAAGGCAAGGACGACGTCTGACACGCCCCAGTATCAGTATATTAAATTTCAAGTATATATTTTTTGAAAGAAACAGGGAAAGTTTTGCGTGAGGCGCATTTCCTGGAAGCCGACTTAGATAATCTCTCAGTCGAAGAAAGACTGCCTCGTAATTTCCTGTAACTCTGTGCGAGCACAAACACATGTCTGCAAGTAATTTGCCAGATTTCCCTTAAAGCCCGTGCTCATTAGGCGAAGGGGTAATCATCAGCCATCAGCCACGCAAGGGGGTTTTCCTGCGGAGCATTAAAAAGCGGATTTTGTCTAATGCAAAAGAATAATAATGCCGTACTCTCAAGATTGCGTGGCTTAATCCTTATCCTTTTCCTACTAGCGATTCCATTCAGAGCTCGGAGCCTGGACGCGTGCGCATTTCGTCCTGCGGATTAAGCTGTAGGATTAGGCATCTTCCTTAAGCATCTCCTCAACAGTTTCAAGTTCATTAAGCGCCGTACATAATATTGATATATACATATATATATATGCAAATACACACAAAAGATATTGAAAACATTTCTGGTTAGATATACATATATACATCAATAACAATTTGATTTGTCATGTTTATTATTGTCGGCACATTATCAGCTCATCGCTCGATTGACTATAAATCAAAAAATCAAAAATCCCCTTCTCAGCTCGTTCGATCCTCGGTTACAAATGGTTAAAAAATTTGTGGGCACACTCACACTTATATATATATAGATCTGCACACACAGATCGCATGACAAACGCACCCTGGGCTACCCCTAATCTAAGCCACAGGGTGCCCCTAACCCTATGACTAACCCTAACCCTAATCGTAACCCTAACCCTAAATCTGCCCCGCAGCGTAGCGCATGCGCAACGTGCGCTTTCCACTTTCCACTTTCACTTTTTTCAACTTCGCCTCTATTTGCCAAGCACTTGGCTTGAGTCCTGCACCGTTATTATCTGTCTATTGGCAGCCCTCGTTTCTTTCCTCCGCTTTCTGCTCGCGAAATTTGTAAAAAATTTGTCGCTTTTATTTTTATTTTTATTTTTTGGGTTGAAAATTGGTGTTTTTTGTTTGGCTTGCGCTTTGTTTGGTACAAGTTGCTCTTGGTGGGGTTAGATTGGTTGCAAGTAGATGCTGGCAACAGCTGTAACTTGAAACGGGACTGTATAAAACCAGGTTCTGATTTTATTTATATGAAACTAGTGCAGCTGCTGCCTTAATATCTAAAATTCTTCGTTGTTTTTAATGTTTAGCTCATTTTATTATTATTATTATTATTATTAATATATGCAGCGAAATTAGATGGAAAAGTTTAGTTTGACAATTCTGTTTATATATTATGTTAATAATATATTTGCTTATATTTCGAGCTATTTAAATTATATGAAAAAGTTCAATAGTGTTTATATTTTATTCTGATGGATAGTGATATAGGAATTTTTGTTAGTATTTAACTTAATATTATGTGTGTGCATAGTTTAGATAAATGGAACAACTACTTAATGTAGTTTTGTTCAGATTTGTATGTCATAAATGTAATTGAATTATTTTTGCTATCTTAAACTGTTTTTGTCTACAAAACTGCCAAGTTTCTTAGAATTCTGTTTAGAGATGATTTCATTCAGCGATGTAATTATTGATTTGATTATTTCAACTTCTAATGAATTCATCTCTAATCTAAATGCTAAATCACTGCCATGCCAAATTTGCCCAGCCTATACAAAAATATATACTTAATTTCGAGCAGCTATGTGACTCAAAGTACAATTTTTTATAATTTTGTGATTTTTTGGCACGAGCCCAATTGAATAAGTTCAAGGTCAATTTGGCTACGCACTAATTACAGCAATTTGTATTGGGCTAGGTTAGTTGTTTCCCAATTGATAAGAACTTACGCATCTTACGCACTGCTGGCCCACATTTGAAAATAATATAGTATATTTTATTATTATTATTCATGTAGCATGTTTTTAAGGCTGCTTGGAACTGGAACTGTATGCAAATCCGTCTGATCTCATCTGAGCTGTGTTTTTGCTCTTAACTTTCTCTTGGCAACGTAGACGTAGCTGATAATGGGTTGGCTATAGTCAGACATTATATTATCTCTAAAGACCGGATTTAAATGAAGAAGAAACACTAATTCGCTAAACCAATACTTGAAACTGAGCATGCTCAATCTTATCAACACTCAACAGGCGACTAAGCCAAAAATCAGACAAAAATGAAAAATAAAAGTGAATGTGGTAAAGGGGTCAAACATATATAGGCATATGTATTCATTTTAATCTAAAATCTTTATCAGTCTGTCAGTTTGTGTCTTGTTTGCCTTGTCCAGAAATATTGTTTTCATTTTTAATGGGTTTCTGCGTATTTCAGTTTCGGCAAAAACATTTCTTTTCAGTTAATCCGTCGGGAATTGTTTCAGTTTTGCCGTTTTGCATTTTTGCCCACTTTTACGTAACATTATGCAGAGCAAGGATGAGGACCAGACCTATGAGTAGACAGACAGACAAAGGTCCTTTCTGGCCATTGTAGTTTTTCACTTTCGAAAATATGCCAAAAATTTCCACGGTAATTGAAATTAACATCCCGTCGCGACTTTGACTCGATCGGATCCTTGGCCTACCTACTCAATATAATATAATATCTGACTGTATATATGTATGTAAATATACATACATTTATATATATATATAAGTTATGCTTGCCATAAAAATCTACATAAAACCATTTAAAAGTCAATCCTCAAAAGTCACAGCTATGAAATGAGACTGCAAAAAGAAAAACGAACTACGGTTTTTTAGGAATGGTTTGCTTTTTTTTTTACCTGTTTTGCAGTTTAGCTTAATTTTTTTGTTACTTCTTTTTTTTAGCTCGTGTTTTTTATGATTTTTGTGTATGATATCTTTTGGAACGTGTGCCGGCAATTAGTTGCTGGCCATCAATGAGCAACTGCTTCCTCAACAGGCTGCAGCGAAAGATGAAAAACTCACTCACAATTGTTTGCCCCCCTTCTTGGTTTTACTTTCACTTTGAGTGCCCCTTTTTGGAGTCGAATTCGTTTCGTTTTGTTTACTTCCTGTTTACGATTACAGCGCACGCTCCCAAAAAACGTAAACCGACAACGAAACGAGGGAAGCAACGAAAGAAGTGAGAACAACCCCCCCTCCCCCATGCACAAGCCACTGCTCCTACCCCTCTCTTGACTTTTGGCGTTCGCTCTCTCTCTCACTCTCTTTCTCTCGCTCTTGCGTTTCAACCCCCTTTTGAGTTCTTTTTCATGTTTGCAAAGGGGAAATTACTCAAATGAGTTAATTCCTGGCTGCTTTCGAGTATTTTTTTTTTTAACTATTGCAAAACCTTTTTTTAACCCGCATCAAGTGTTTTTTTTATGAAGGCTCTAAAAAATCGGAAGTCCACGCAAGTTTTTTAAGGTCGTTTTTTCTTTTTTGTTTTAGGTAATAATTATTTTTTATCTTTATGACTCTCGGCAGCAAATAAAAAACGCCTCTGCAATAAAATCATAAAAGTATTTACAGCATTTTTTTTAAATGCTAGTTGGCTAAAAAAAAATAGTTTTGTGCTAGAAATTAGATATTGACAGAAAATGTTGTCCCGTCTCCCTTGCACACACAATTTGCATATGAGCTTAGGTAAAATAGCCAATCAAAACAACAACAACAACAGCTAGAAACCAGCTCAAAAAAAAGAGCTGAGACATTTTTGAGCACTTCGTTTTTTTTTCTTATATTTTACAGCCTCAAAGAGAGAGAGAGAGAGAGGCATGAAACGCACACATCAAGCATTGAAAGGAGAGCAGAGCAATTTACCTGCTGCTACTGCTATTGCCGCTGTGGCTGCTGTTGCTGCTTCGGTTTCGGGTTCGGGTTCGTTTGTCGGTTGTCGTTTGTCGGCTCGTTTCTTGCTCCCTTTGACTGACTGCTTGACGATGTGTGCGTGAGCGAGTAAGTGAGCGATTGAGTGCGTAAGTGTGCATGTGCATGTGTGTGTGAGAGAGGGTGAGTTCAGTGAGCGTATTTATAGTTAGCACACGCGGCGAATTCGTATCATTCGTGTTTTGGCTCTGACAGTGAGAGGAGCACACGCACACGCACTCACACACACACTCGCAGTCGCACTTACACTCAGTCGCTCTTTAGAATTTGTTGCTTCTAAAGGATAAGCATAGAAAAAAGGATATTCTCGCACTCAACTTGCCTCGTATATAAAAACGTGTTGCAATCGCTCGTTTCACATCATTTCTCAGCGACAACTCGTCACAGTCACAACTCGAGAAACAATTTAGTTCAATTTCAATACAAATAAACTACAAAACTTCTGTTGTGAAACGTGTGACAACTGAAGAACATCAACATCAACAAAACCAAATACCTCAACAACAACAAAAATAAAATAAAAATTTCAACTACCTCATTTTGTAAATCGTGAACTTTTGTAAACTGTGCAAAAAAAACTACCTCAAAGTACAAACTAAGAAAACAACGACACACACAAAAAGTGCGCGAAACAAATTGTTAAAAATATTTAAAGTTAAACAAGAATAAGAAAAACACAGCTCAAATGAAAATTTGTGTTCAAAACTGAAGGAAAAAAATCAAAAACGTTAAGTGAAATTGCAAGTTAAACGCTTGCAATTTGTTTTTGGCTCGAAGGACAACAAACAGAAACAACAGTTATGGCCATATCCATGCTGCAGGACGCCCAAACACGAAGTAAGTAAATACCTAAATTAAGCAACAAAGAATAAATAAATAAAAATGGAATATATATTAGCTGGCACAGGAAAATAATCTAATTCAAGCTCATAATTTGGCTGCAATTTTGGCTACTTTTTTCAACTTAGCAAATTTTCGAAATCCAAAATTAGGGAAAAAATAAATATTTTCATATTAAGCTATACATTTTTGAAGCTTGAAAAATGTTGGAAATTATAAAAATATCTTATCCGTTTCCCGCTAAAGTAAATTAGAATAAATTTGCAGAGTTTACGCGAGTAGGGGCGAAAAAATCGAAGTAAAACTTTGCATAGAAAATGCAAGATAAATTCAAGCTGCAACTTTTGACTAATTTTGAAGATTACCAAAAATTTCTTACTCACTTAATGCTAGACACATTTAGAAAAAATTCAAATTCTTCAAAAATTCATTAAGATTATTTCGCGCAATTTTCTTATCTAACTTCAAGCTAAATCAGCATTTTAATATTTATATTATATATTTTAAGCATATATATAAAATAAATTACTCATAAAGTTCACTTATTATATATTTTAAATATATATATAATAAAAATTAGTCATTAAATGCAGCAATTTCCCCATAACACATTAAAGCGCACATTAAAGCACCGTTGTTTAAGCACACACACACACACACACACACTTAAACACTCACACAGCGACGTATACAGCAATAACGACGTCTCAATGTGCCCGAGTTAGCATTAGGCGCCATTTTGGCAAATGCTCAACACATACACACACACACATACACACACACATACACACACACACACACATGCACAGCAATTAAGTTTTGTTTACAAGTTTTTTTTGTGCTGCCCACAAAACCGGCATTTAACTCGTTTCACGCAACGCCCACCAAAACAAACGAAAGTGGGAGCGAGAGAGAGACAGACAGAGAGAGAGAGAGAGAGAGAATGGAAAGAGAGCGCAAAATGGTCATGTATGTTTTTTACACACACACGCACATGTGTGTGCTTTTGCTGCTCTTAAGCGCTCTCTTTGCTCGCGTTTTGCTCTTGAAAAGTTTTGACACACGTGCGTTGTTTAAAAAAAGATAAAACAAAAGAAGAAAGAAAGTAAAGTAAAAAATAGGAGAAAAGTGTTAAAAATTAAATATGTTACAGCTAGATTTTCGACAAAAAAAAAAACGTTGCTGATATGCAAAAGCTTCTTGTAGAAAAGTGCCAAAATTAATTTCGATTTTCATAAGCTTACCAAAATAAGAAAAAATGCTTCCGCTAGGACAAAACTGAAACTAGAAAGGTAAAAATATTTCGATTTTCGTAAACTGATAAAAAAATTCTGCCTATAGGGGAAAAATGCTTGCAAAACAATTTAAAAAAAATTTAAAAACGAATGCTTTTTGAAAAACTTTTGCTAACTTGCAACACTTTTTTCTCTCCTCTTTTTTAGGCCTTGCTGCTGCGTTGGCTGGCATAAAGCGTGAAGAAATTGTGGTGGATCGCTCGATGTCGCTGTCACCGCCAATGTCGGCAAACACCTCCGCCAGTAGTCCGGTGGCAGCTACAAATAGTCTCTACCCGGCGATGGGGCTGCAACAGGCAGCTGCCGCATCTGCATTCGGCATGTTGTCGCCAACACAACTCATGGCTGCCAATCGTCAGGCGGCTGCTTTTATGGCACAGCTGCCAATGAGCACATTGGCAAACACGCTCTTTCCACATAATCCAGCGGCACTTTTTGGTGCCTGGGCGGCACAGCAGCAACAACATCAACAGCAGCAGCAGCAACAGTTGCAACAGCAGCAGTTGCAGCAGCAACACTTGCCACTTGGCGGCACGCATTTGCACTCGCCGCCAGCGAGTCCCCACTCGCCGTTAGCCAGCACTGGCAAACACAGCTTGAGCTCACCAAACAGCACTCCACAACACCAACAACAACAGCAAAATATGGTTTTGGGTGAGCCTCTGAAGAAATCGCGAAAGCTCTCCGTCAAGAAGGAGTTCCAAACGGAGATTAGCATGAGTGTCAGCGATCTCTATAATCATCATCATAATTCGCATCATCATCACCATCATCATCATACGCCCAGTGGACCCATTTCACCGCCCTCCAGCGGCAGCTCACCAAACTCCTCCGCACACGAGGCAAGCTCAGCAGGAACAACAACAACAACAGTTGCAACAACAACAGCAACAGTAGCAACAGCTGCTGCTCCCTCCTCAAAGGATCCGTCGCGTGACAAGAGTTTCACTTGCAAGATTTGCTCGCGCAGCTTTGGTTACAAGCATGTCCTGCAGAACCACGAACGCACCCACACCGGTGAGAAACCCTTCGAGTGCCCCGAGTGCCACAAGCGCTTCACTCGCGATCATCATCTGAAGACCCATATGCGTCTCCATACCGGGGAGAAACCGTATCATTGCTCCCACTGCGACAGGCAGTTTGTCCAAGTGGCCAATCTCAGGCGTCATCTGCGGGTTCATACGGGGGAACGTCCTTACACCTGCGAGATTTGTGATGGCAAATTTAGTGATTCGAATCAATTGAAGTCGCACATGTTGGTGCACAATGGCGAGAAGCCATTTGAATGCGATCGTTGCCACATGAAATTCCGTCGGCGACATCATCTGATGAATCACAAGTGTGGCATTCAATCCCCGCCACCCACACCCGCCCTCTCACCGGCCATGAGTGGTGATTTTCCGCTTGCGGCAGTCGCAGCTGCAGCTGCTGCAGCTTCCGCGCTGGAGAGTTCAACGCATAAGTTTGCTCAGATGTGCGCCAGTTATGGCGGCTCTGAGGAGTCCATGGAAATGAGCAAGGATGCCGAAGATGCACCACTCGATCTCTCCGAGGATGGTGGCAGCTCTGTCGATGGCCAGTGTATTGGCAGCGGCAGTGGTGGCAGCAATGCACGCCGCAAGGCTCAAGATATACGTCGTGTGTTTCGGCTACCACCGCCACAGATTGCGCATGTGACAAGTGCGATGCCGGAGCAAACGGAGCCGGAGGATTTGAGCATGCACTCGCCACGTTCGGTGGAATCGCATGAGCCAAACGAGGACATCGACCTCGATGACCTCGACGATGCAGCGGCGCTTTATCTACGCCAGCAACAGCAGCAGCTCCACTAGAGCACTCGCTCCTAATCCTCTTCCTCCTCCAAAGAATGAAGAAAGAAAGTATATTGAATTGTATATAGTTTTGTGGACTGGCGCTCATCAGATGCAGCCTCAGCCTCAATTGAATCGAACAGGAATTTACGTCAAGTACAATTAGCTTGCAAATTACAAAAAAAAAGAAATAGTACTAATATTCATTTTTAGTAAAAAACATTTGCACATAAATCAAGTAAAAATTGTACAAAAAAACACTTTAAATTTAAGCTAAACAAAAAACTCTTAACCCAGCTAATGTTGTGCCATTCTCAAAAGTTATAGTTTAATTTAATTCTTGGTTGTTCATTAATTGTATATATATATATCTATATCTATCTGTAGCCAGCGTTTGCAGCTGCCAATTGTAAATTATACAGCGCTCCAAAATCCAAAAAAAAAAAAACAAAAACACAAAACAAAATCAAAAATATTATTGTTTAGTCTAATTTTACTTATATCTATATAATTTTATTCTCAAAGAAAAAAACCAGCCAATTAACACAAAAATCAAAATTAACTTTAAGTTGAGGTTAAAACGCAAAAAAAGGAAACAAATATTAATAAACTCTTTATGCTTAATGCCAATTGTTTTGTTTGCCATAAATTATAAATTTTTTACGTATAAATATTATTTAATTTAGTCGGTAATGTTTTCTTGCATGAATCTCGTTGTTTGATTAAAAGATCAACTTTTATTCTCATTATTATTCGTATCCCGATTTTTTAGTTTGTATTTTGAATTGTTGCAACAGCGAAAAAAAAAACAAAAAATGTTGCGGCATAATAATTATGAAAAAATAAAATTGATAGAAAATCAGAACAAAAAACGGTTTATTTTTTCTTTTATTTTACGATCGATTTCAGTTCGTTTCTATATTATTATTTTTTAAATATTTTCTTTCTCCCAAGTTCTCCCTTATCCACCCACTTCCAATTTAACTGATATATAGTATATATAACACACATGGAAATCAAAAATGGATAATACATAAATATTACCAAAATACAAAATAAACCTAGTCTAAAGCTAAAGCTAGATCGTAAGTCGTGAACCAAGTAAACAGGAAGAACTACTATAACCGAATACCTCCAATACCTCTAAATAAAAAAACAATTTGTTGTGATTGTCATTAAGCAACTCACACACAGTCACACACACGCGTACACACACATGCAATATATATATATATGATACAATAATTATAAATTGGGCAATCGTACAATTCAACTGAATTTATATACAACAAATAACATAAACAAAATGGGAGCTAAACAAAAGATATACACAAAAATCAAATATATATAGCAATTTTTATGCATATTTTTTATGAACTAAGGCATAACGAACGATTTTCCAAAAACAAGCATTTAGAAAACATATTCCAAAATAACTTAGCTGATAAGTGTAAATATACATATACATATATATAGTCTTTATATGTATTCTATAAGTTGTACATAATCAACAAAACTTACACTACAGAATAATTTTAGTGCAATCTTTGGTTTGGTTTTTTATTTATTTGTGTTTGGAAACAAAAATGCAACAAAATATGGTGTAATTTTCTTTGTTCATTCAAGTGTATGGTATACAAGTTCCTCAAGATTAAATAATTACAAAACAAAACAAAAAAGCCCAAATAGTAAACAAAAACAACGCAACTCAAGTCTGGCCTGAGAAGTGCGCTTTGTACACACACCTCACATGTTTCATATGAATTATGTATTGTATATTTAATGGTAATACTTAACACATAACCTAAACCTAAACTTAAGTGTATAAATAATTAACTTTATATCTATAACTATAACTATATCTATATATATACATATATATTCTCATGTTTAATCGGTAAAGTCAATTTAACTGTAAATACTTAACGCATTATTCATTATGTGCAATATTTAGTCAAAAAAAAAAAAAAACAAACAAAATACCAAAACTCAGCACTTAAACTAACCAAAAGTGAAACTAGAACAATTAATAATTATTATCTGACTTATAAACAAATTATACATATATATATATGTATATATATATTATAATTATACCTACTTAAGGCATACTCTGCTTTGCATATTGATTTTTCTCGTTTATTGTTGTTGTCTTTTCAAACATTTTAACTATATATATATATTATATTAATATTAATTATATATATATACACAACTATATATATATATATATATGTATATCAATCTCAAGCAGCAGATTCATTAATTTTAAATGTGCGAGTATTTATTACGATTATTATTATTATGTTTATGGCGAATTTGTGAATTGTGTGAATATACCAAAGCGACAAATATATATATTACAATATTGTGTTAAAACCCAGAGCAATGTTTTAAATCAATATGCCCCCTCTCCTTTAGAGCCCACCCCTCCCTCCAAAGACGAAGCGAGAACGGGCAACATTATATAAATTTTTAATTTATGCAAACGAAGCCCTTTCGCATTATTTTACATTTGCCACAAGACGCCCTACTAATGCTGTCGACCCCCCCAACCCTCAACCCCCAACCCCAACAACCCCAAACTCGGGCAATTTTGAATTTTTTTCCTCCGTGCGGCAGCTGAGCAAGAAAAGAAAAATATATATATCCTTATATATATATCTTTGTACATAAAAAACGCGCCGCGCGCGCAGCCAGAAAATGTCACAGTGTTTTCCCATTTAATCTCCAGTGAGCAAACAACAATAACAACAACACCAACAGCAGCCGCTACCCCCTAACCCCCACCACCCCTACCATAACCCCCTCGTGAAAACCTTTCAGCCCCCCAACGCGACAACGCCTCCTTTTTTATTTTTTTTTCTTTGTGCCCCTTTCAACAGCAGCAAAAGCAGAGCAGCCAAATATAAAAAAAAGGCTTCGTTCTATGTACAAAATGGCAGCATGTATTACATAAAAGCCGTCTTATGTGCTTACACAGGACGAAGCGATGTCCTCCTCCCCCGCCCACACACACTTTTCATTATGGGGAGCAGGGAGTGGAGAGAGGTTCGTCCTGCGCTGCTTATTAGCATTTCAGCCTTTCTTCGCTGAGCGCGCCAGTTTTGCCTTTCGAGTAAATGATTTAGACTCGGGTAGCCAGAAATTTCTACCAAATGAGTTTACGAGTGTTTGGCTGTAAGGATTTCAATACCCTATACGAGCAGTACTCGTGCAGTATGCTCCTTTTACGAGTGGTGAAACTAAAAGTTGAGCAAAACTTAAATATGATTTATATTTAACATTTTTATTAGGTGTGAATATGTCCTCGGCAAACTGCATATTATTTAGTAGCTCAGTTAACGCCTTATTATAACGAATATATTCCAAACTTACCTTTGGCAACTCAAATCAAGAGATTAATTAAAGTTTTCTTAATTATATACAACATTATGCAGCTCATTTTTGGTTCTCATTTGAATATCTGCAGGAATAAAATAAAATAATAAAAAATAATAATCTTCCGCTTCAGCCAGCTGGTTTTTGCCTCTCTAAAACGAAAGCATAAAAACAAAGTTGAAATACATTCCAAAAGATTTATGTTCTAATAACCTTTCTTCCGAGTAATTAGGGTATCCCATAGTCGATCATGCACAACTAACTAGCTTGTTGTTGCCTCTCTCTAAGGAAAGAATGCAAAGGCAGTTGAAATAAATTTTAAAGGCTTCTCGTGCGTTTCGCTCGCCAAGCGTTGCTCATTATTCAAATTGAAAAATTATGATTTGCGCCCAGGACTCGAGATACAGGACTCTAAGACGCACGAAGCAGGACTTGAAGTCCGAAGTTGGCGTCCAGCGAACCAAACGATTCTAATAAGCTGCCTCAAGTGCAATAGACTATAGAAGGGGCAGTGTGAGGGCAGGGCGGGTACGGGTACGAGTGCGGGGGTGTGAGAGAGTGGGGCAGCTGATGCCGCCGCATTGGCTGCGGCTGCTTTCATTATCCTGCGGCCATTCGCCTCAATTAAATGGGTAAAATTATGAGCCTTATTAATATGGTTGGGCTTTTGCCTGGGTTTGTTTCGCGCTCCTCAATTTGTTGTTGTGAAGGATGGGCTTTTTTGTTGGTTTTTGAGTAATCGCAGCTGGGAGCGTTTTAAAAAAGCGCGAAAACTTAAATTTAGCAGTCCGAAAGATAAGAAATTAAATATATATGCAAAGAAAAACAAAATTAATTTATATTATACATCTAAACAAGAATGAACTCAGACACGCTGACCATTAAATACCCTTGCAGTTGAGCGTAAAACTGGCGATATTTAAATATCACTAGAAATTGAGAAAACTGACAGATTGCTTCCATGCAAGCTATATGATATATTAGTTCGATATTTATATTATTTTACCAAAACGTTAAATCTATTCAGTCGGTTTAGTTTGGATAAAAAAAACTTAACGACAAAATTATAATGCCGTCCGCTAGGGTATAAAAACTCAAAACTTATTTATTTTCTTTTACACAAAGAGCGACTGCAGTAAATTCAAATTCCAATGAAAGCAAAGCTTAAGAATTCTGAAAATATATTTAATATTTATCTTCAGTGACTAATAACAGCTTAAGGGATCTAATTTGAGTTTAATAGAGATATAATATTTTAAGCGTGTTTTTGCTTAATTTAAATAGAATTAAAAGAAAATACTTAAATTCTCAAATGAATTGTAATACTTTAAACAAATTTCCAAAAATCTTAAAATAACATTTTGTGTACCTAAATTAGCTTGCATTCACAGTAAAAACACGAGTATTTAAAATATCCTTTCACATGCTTTTAGAACATTTTAATAGGGCTCAGGCATTGTGATATATGTAACAAAAGTATGGATAATATGAGAGAGACGAGAGAAAGGGGCTTAGACGACATCAATCAAATGCACACACGCACACACACACACACACAACAATAAATTGTAACAGGATCAATAATGCAATGGGTAAACAAAAGGGTTAACGCTGAAGCAGAGCAGAACCAAAGAAATGCCAAAATGCCGCATGAATAAACACAA